CTTCAACTTTGAATGAATTTTTATATTGGGAACTAGTTGCCAATTATATTTTAGTGCATTCACAAGCATAATCCATCTAAATATAATTTAAACAAAAATCACGTCTAAACGAAGCATATTTGTATTACGCTTTATCTGGTTTTATTTTAAATTTTCTTGTACCTAACAGGCCTTAAAAAGTGTTTTTTTCCAATACAAAGAAGATTTTCCTTTCAAAACATTATATAACTCCATCGTATCTCTTCTGACAGTCAATTCGATTATTATACTCGAATCTTGTAGCTTGGTTCGGGTTCTCTGAAAGTAAAAAAGATAAAAATAAATCTTAGGTAATAATATTTCATTAATTAATGTATGCGTATACAAAAAATTTTTAAATTTACGCCAATTCGAAGTGATTGCTTCTAAATGAGCAACAGTTTCCCTTATGATGCGGCTTTACTACATCTGGGAGAACGATGGTTTTCTTTTTCGCTTTTCTGTGTGAATATATTGGAGTGCGAATCCGTATTTTAATTTCTTCTTTGCTTATATGGCTACCTCTCTTTATTACTGCGTTAAGTGCAAGATATCTAGCAATGAGCTCATTAGAGTTCGGAAAATATTGATTGAAGTTTCCGGTTCGCGAACAAAACTAAAAAAAGAAAAATTTTAATATTTGCTTAAATCAGATTCACCCAAACCGTTCCTATATTTTTTAGAATTCTCTTGATACTTACCACTTTCGAGTACCTCTCAATCACTTCATTCATATCCATCCGAGAGCGAAAACGAGAGGGCGATATAATTAAACCCTACTCACCACTTTAACAAAATAATTAACTCACTCGCCAACGTATGACTTCCAAAATATGCGGTTCATGGGGAATAACAAGCCCAATTTTTATACGTAGCACCTTATGAAAATATTTCTCGTACGCTTTTATATATTCTTCCAAGAGTATAGATAGCGACTAAATGGAATTAAATCAGATGGTTGCAATAAACTATTCAGAGCCACTATCAAGCTGCAGCAGAAATAATGGTGTACATTTATCAAGAATATGTATAAATAAAAAGTGTAATTACCGGATATTGAAGAGGTTTAAACATCAAATCTGCACGTCTGCTTATGCCAAGCGCCCCAAACTTATTTTGATTTTGTATGCCAAGAACTACGTGCCTAAAATTTGTTCCATTAAACTCTGTTTTAAATGCTATCGTGAATCTGTGTAAATCAGTATTTCTTCTTGTCAAATAACTAATCCATAGTAGATATAATGAAGAAGTTTACATAGCCAGGATGACAGCCTCTAGACATTTAATAGGTAGAGAGTCTTTTATTATTTGTTTTGCCGTATTTTCCAGGCTAAGTTTAAGTTTAAGTGTCAGCAG